GTGCTTGAGCATCTTGGGGGTATGGTTCGAGAATCTTTCATCTTTCGTCCAAAGTCCCCCTGTATAAGGGGACAGGCCCGACCGAAGGCCTGCCTCGTGCCCCTCCCCGGGGCGGGGCCCGCGCAGAGGCCCCGAAGTGCAACGAGGATGACGGCAGGGAGGGAGGTGCGGTGAAGGCGCTGAATAAGAGCCTGTTTTTTTAGACTCTGGCAAGTTTACTTGCATGGACGGGGGGGGGGTCTGAGCCTGAGCAAGACCGCGTTCGGGGGGGCGCGAAATCAGCAAGTCCGCAAGGCACTTGCACGCTATATTTCGCTTGAAAGAGGGGCGAGGGGGGGGGGGTGGGGGGGGCGAACGCTATGCAAGTAAACTTGCCTGAATCCAAAAAACAAGCTCTAACGAATCCTCCGATAAGAAGCCCAGGGTCTGAAGCTGGTGGAGCTCGAATCGCAGACGGGCCATGGATATCACCACCGCCCTCATCCGAGGAGGGAGCCTCCGAAGGTCTGAAGCCTCCCGGGCACGTTCCTGGACGAGCGCCCCCACCGTATCCAGACGTTCTGCCCAGCGGTGGCTCGCAAGCAATCACTGGACACGCCCTGCGTCCCTCTGTGGATACGGGTCTGAAGAATGCACGGAGCGACTGGATAAACGATGCCCCATCCACGGACCACACGTCTCTACGGAGAGAGCACCGGATAACCCTACGGAGCCATTGGATCAGGAATCGAGGGTCTGGGAGCCGGTGGAGCACCCAGGGAGGCTTGGCCATCGATATCACCGCCGCTCTCATCAGACAGGGGATTTCCAAGGGCCTGAAGGCTCCTGGGCACATTCCTCGACGAACGCGACCCCCGCATTCTCCCCCGCACCAGCCCTTCCCAAACGCTACTGTCCTTGAGCTTGTACTCCATGGAGCACATGACATCAATCTCAGCGCCCTGCGGGTGGAACACAAAATCTGCTCCAATTGGCCCGGCAGTCGGCAACAGAGGGGAGAAGAGAGCGAGCCCTGAGCCTGGTGCAGCACAAAACGTCACACTACTGCACGTGCATGGACTTGTGTACGTGCACTCGCTCCGTTGGGCATACGCGTGCACAGGGTCGAGGTCCTCCGCTCCAGAAGCAATCTGATGAGAATCGCCGCGCGAGCCCGCCCCAAGCCAATGACGCAGTGATCGCCACAGCGGAGATCATTGCGCGTCACTTCTGGCGCCGCAGATGTGGGCTTCTCGCGTGTTCGCTAACAAGGTGGCAACAAACGGGGGTGAATAAACATGCACCCTGTGGCTCTGCGGTGGCAGTGAAGAGGCCTTGCAAGGCCCCTTGTAAAACCGCTGTGCTGAAATACTGGATCCCTTCATGCTGTTTTTGAGGGGGCCAAAACGTACCGGTACCGCTACTCCCAGCACCTCTACAAGTGTGCGTTGAGATTAGAATTTGGAGGCGAATCAAGGGAAGGGCAACGGTACGGGTACCTTTTCCTCCTCTGACGCTCATTGCCCACCCGTTGCCGCCAGCATGTGCCCGTGCTCTGCGGACCTGGGTCAATGAGATATCGGGCCAGTCAGGCGTCGCAGAGTCCTGCAAGATCCTGCACGATCCTGCAGGATCCTGCGCGCCAGCCCGGGTCAGAGCACCCCTGGCTCTGCAGCATCCTGCACATATCTGGCGCTCTGGCTGATCCTCGTTTGCACCCCCCTCCGTCCCTCGAGCCCCGATGTGCTTTTGCTTCGGCCCCGCCGGGTGCGATGACATTCTCACGCTCCGGTCCGCGTCGGCGGGGGGGGGGCGCCAACAGAAAAGGTGCCGCCCCGGGGAGGGCAGCCTCCCCTGGGAGAGGGGGAGGAGTTGTTGGAGTATAGCCGGGCCTAGGAAGAACATCCTTCAAGAACATGAGACACTCTGCCAGCACAGGACATCCTAGGGTACCCTTCCCAAGAGGAAAAGAGCAGTGGCACGTTCTTCAGGAGGAGGAGGAGGAGGAGGAGGAGGAGGAGGAGGAGACTGAGGAGGATATAGGCCCAGGGTGGGGGGGGGTTAGGGAGGGGGGAGCGGTCGGAGGAGGGGGAGGGACTAGCAACAACCTCCACAGGCAGAAACTGTCAGAGATCTGCGTAGATACATCTTGGGTCGACGCAAGCTGCCCCGCCCTTGCGCACGGAGCGCGCCAGGCCATGGCGGCGGCGGAGGCGTCGCCAGGGGGGCCCAGCGCCGAACCAAGAAATCCGCGCAGAGCTTCGAAATCCCACCAGCATGCTGGGAGTGAGTGGTTTAGAGCGCTGCCTCTTCCACCCCCCCCTTCCTCCCCTTGAGGGAGGAGTTTACCCCCCTCCCCGTGGGTGTGGAGTGGGGCGTCGCGGGTTGCTGGATCATCCAAGATGGCCTCGGCGAGAAGGCCACAACCATTGATGTTGCTAAGGTTTTGGCCACATGTTGGCCTCCTGGGGAGGGACGCTCATTGAGTACGGCCTCTCCTTTGATCTATCACCTCCAAGATGGTCCCAAGATAGCCCCCGTGGCTCCCAATGGTACCCCAAGACGGTCCTGAGACGTGCCCAGGGGGCCCCAAGAATCCCCCAAGAGGCCCCCAAGAGGCTCTGTAGAGACCCCCAGGAGGCCCCCAGAGGCCCCCAGAGGCACCCAAAAGGCCCCCGGGACTGCCAAGAGACCTCCAAGGCGCCCCAATAGGACGCCAAGAAGCTCTCTAAAGACAGCCGAAGAGCCTCCGAGAGGCGTCCAAAGAGGCCTCTGGACTTTCTGATCGCCCTCCTCCTCGTCATGCTCCTTCTCCTCCTTAGTCTTCCTCATCCGCCGATTCCTCCTCCTCCTCCTCCTCCACCTCCTCCTCCTGCTCCTCCTCCTCCTCCTCCTGCTCCTCCTCCTCCTCCTGCTCCTCTTCCTCCTCCTCCTCCTCCTAGTCCTCCTCCTCCTCCTCCTCCTCCTCCTCCTTTTCGTCGTCGTCGTCCTCCTCCTGCTCCTTCTCCTCCTCCTCCTCCTGCTCCTCCTCCGATTCCTCCTCCATCCTCCCCCTCTAGGGGAATACCACGTCTGACCCAGCCCGCTATTCCATTGCCTGCTCCGCCACATGCCCGATGCGGGCAACTCGCCGGGGCATCATTTCTGGATGGGCTGGTGGGTTACCCATCGGTCGGAAGAAGTAGCTAGAAACATGAAATAGGAAGGCATTGAAAGTATTTAGGGTTCCGTCCGCCCCCTGGGGAGGACGGAAGAGGTGAAGCCACTCGATCAATGAAGTAGGCAGGCGCTTAAAGTATAATGGAATATGGGAATCAAGAGATTCCTACTTCGGCGGTGGACAAACCTCCCTTCAATAAACCACCCTTTAGTGAAAACGGCCTGGGACCGAAACCGACGGACCTGGACCAGCAAAACTGACGGCCGCGACGCCCTCTCGCGAACCGAACATGGCCAATTCGCTGATCGACGTGTCAGGGTAGGAGGTCTGCCCACCCCCCGAAAGAAGGAAGGCGCTTGAAGTAGATTGGAATACGGGAATCAAAAGGTTCCTTCTTTCAGTGACCGATGGGTGCGCGAAGTGTCCAGAATTTCATGGTCATGTCGGCGCCTCCTTCCCCGAGAGTTGGCGGAGCTGGGGGCCTCCAACGAGGAGAGGGGCGTGCGGGAGGGGGAGGTGCGCACACGTATCCTGGCCGCCCGGCACGTGTGCGGACCAGGGGGGCCGGCGGGGGGGACCCCAGGGACAACTGAGACAGAAAGGTTGGCGCTTTTCCTCCTCCTCCTCCTCCTCCACCTCCTCCTCCTCCTCCGTCCCCTCCTCCTCCTCGTCGTTCTCATCCTCCTCCTCCTCCTCCTCCTCCTCCTCCTCTCCTCCTCCTCCCTCTGCTCCTCCTCCTCCTCCTCCTCCTCCTCCTCCTCCTCCTCCTCCTCTCCTCCTCCTCCTCCTCCTCCTCCTCCTGCCTCCTCCTCCCTCCTGCTGAAACAGGGGTCCCAGGGGGCATGCAATCTGGTGACAGCGTTTTCTTATTCGGCGTTTCGACATTGGGCAGAAGGGGGGGGGACGGGGGGGTCTGGCTCCGGACCTCTGCTTACTATGCCTCTGCTTGCAGCAGTGCGTCCTATCAGGGAGGCTCCACCTGCTCGAAACAGGCGCCCATGACAGCCAAGATCTACGCCATGGGAGGGGGGGGGGGGCGAGGGCCTGCGCCGATTGGCAAAACAAAGAGTAAGACAAAGATCACCCGGGGATGCGGTCGGGAACTCTTGCTTAGTGTGTCGCCTCGGGGCGGCCTCGGCGACACGCCCTGCCCTTCAAGCGGGATATAGAGTGACGTTCCGCTCCGCGAGGCGGGAGGCGGAAGGGCGGGAGACGTTCGCGCCCAGGGGCCGGGAAGTGCACGCGTGTCGGGCCGAGGCGGGGGTGGGGCAGGACCTCCGGAGCGAGGCGCTATCCGAGAGTTCCCGACCTCATGTCATGGCCCCCGGCACGAGACCCCCCCGAGTCATAGTCATCACACACCTCCTGGACGACCCCGATCCTCGAGACCCTGAGGTGCAGTGTTGCGGGCCAGATGGCAACGCCGAGGCACAGCAGAGACACGGCCGAAGCACTGGCCCCAATCTTGCTGCGGCGCTCTTCGAGCGAGATCGATATGTGATGGCCCTGGGACCCAGCAAACATCGGGAGAACACGCGCGCGCGCGCGCCAGGGAAGGGCGGTCGCTGGATTTCCTGCCCTTGCACTCGCGCAGGGGGCGCCTCCGGGGGGTGGGGGGGCCAGCGCCGATCCAAGACATCCGCGCGGAGCTCCGTAAGTTTGTGGTTGTGCAGTTGTTACTTCTGCGAGGACGAGGGCCGGAGGAGAGGGAGGAGGAGGATGAGGAGGAGGACGAGGAGGAGGAGGAGTAGGAGGAGGAGGAGAGGAAGAGCAGGAGAAGAAGGCGGAGGAGGAGGAGGAGGAGGAGGAGGAGGAGGAGGAGAGGAGAGGAGGAGGCGGAGGAGGAGGAGGAGGAGGAGGCGGAGGAGGAGGAGGAGGGGGAGGGGGAGGAGGAGGAAGCCGCGGCGCCGGGCTCAGGCCCTGGAGCGCTGCAGCCCCCTGGACCCTCGCCGGCTGGCGCCGACGCGGGCCAGGGGAACCAGGCTCCCTTGCTCCGCGATGGAGCTGAAGGTTCTGGACAGCTCGCCCAGCGGGTTCGAGTGCGTGGTGCCCGTGGTGCAGCGGCTGGATGGCGGTGCCCACCAGGCTCGGGGAGCACATGATGGCATAAACACAACATTTCGGAGGTCCGCGCGGCGTTCTCGGATCGGCACTGGAGATCCCCGCGGCGCCTCCGGCGCCTCCTCTGGCGCGCGGAGCACGCCAGGGAGGGGGGTCCAGCGCAGATCCCAGGAACCCGCGCGGAGCGCCAAAAGCGCACGTGTATGCCATTAGTTGTTCCTCGACAGGGGAAAGCGCAGGGGGGGGGGCCTCCTGTAAGCAGGTGGAGGGCCCTCTTGGAAGGCCGCGGGGCTCTAAGAAGGCGTCCTCGAAGCTGGGCGGGCTTCTGAGAGGCCCCCTCTGCTATCTGGGACGCCCCGCTGCCTCTTGGAGGCCCATCCCCCTCGCACTCGCACCTCCTCCTCCTCCTCCTCCTCCTCCTCCTCCTCCTCCTCTCCTCCTCCTCCTCCTCCTCCTCCTCCTCCTCCCCTCCTCCTCCTCTTCCTCCTCCTCCTCCTCCTCCTCTTCCTCCTCCTCCTCCTCCTCCTCCTCCTCCTCCTCCACCTCCTCCCCCTCCGCCTCCTAACCCCTCGTGGGCGCCGCCAAGCTGGAGCTCTTCTTGTGGAGGTGGGGCTGCGCCTCGAGCTCTGGCCAGGTCTTGCCGTGCCCGTCGCAATGCGCGCACCTGCCCGTGCCGGCCTGGTGCCTGCCGTCGATGCCCGGGGCAAAGCCGCCGCACGCCTCGCAGCCCTGGGGCTTCCTGCCGAACTCCAGCCAGCACGGAGCGGGCGGGCCCTTCGGCGCCGGGGCGAAGAAGTCCTGGGAGAGGACCTGGTCCCCGTGGCACCTCGGGGTATGTTGCTCCCATCGCACTTAATTAAGGACCACATCCCACACATCTTTTCGAGCACCCAGAAAAGTGTCGAGAGGGTGTCGAAAAAGCGTCGAAACAGTGTCGGACGAGCGTCTCCCAGGGCCCGACACGTGAAAACCCTCGAGTTCCGGTACATGTTGCTAGTGCTCAAAATTCTCTCTGGGGATCAAGGCTAAAGTAGGTTGGAACATCATAAACCTCGGGCAGGTCCCCGTGCCGGAGCACGCCTGGCAGACCGTGGGCTCGCGGCGGCGCCTCTGGAGGCAGAAAGCACTGCGCACAAATCAGCCGTCGGGGCATGCATCGTGCGGATGCATCTCGTCGGCGGCGAGCCAGGGGGGGAAGTGAGGAGGGAGCGGGCCTTCCCAGAAGAAGCGGAAGTCCCACGGCCTTCTGATACGTTTTCTGGGCCTTCCCCGAAGACGCAGGCAGCTCATCAGAAGGCGCGAGGGCCAAGTCCCGCCTCCTTCTGAGAAGGCCTCCACTCTCTCGCTTGCCGCAGATCTGAGATGTGCCGTCGAGATCAATGTGCCTCTGTCGCTCTTGCTTCGTCTTGGCGGCGCGCACAGGGAGGTATAGGGGGAGGGGGGAAGGCCTCTTCGACGAAGGCTGCTTCTCAGCAGGCGCCGGGCCCTACATCTGCAGACAGGGCCCGCGCCTTCGAAGAGGCAGGGCCGATGCCAAGAAGCCGTCGCCCCTCCCCGAGGCCCCCTCTGCGCGCGGCCGATTTCCGTCGAGCCTCAGCAGCTCCTCCTGCATCTGGCGGAGCCTCTCGAGGTGCTCCTCCTCCTCCTGGCGCCTCCGCGCCTCCGCGGCCTCGGCCCGCTCCTTCTCGAGACGCCACCGCTCGTTGACGGGCCTGTTTTCCACCACCACCGTAGGTTGGAGGGGGGAAGGAGGTGGAGGATGAGGATGAGGATGAGAAGGAGGAGGAGGAGGAGGAGGAGGAGGAGGAGGAGGAGGAGGAGGAGGAGGACCCCCTCCCCCTCCTACTTATGATGGTGGTGGTGGAAAACAAGCCCATCAGCTCGTGCCCGCGGAACGTGGCCCTGCAGTGCTCGTCGTACGCCGCCTGCTTCGCGGCCTGCCTGCGCAGGCTCTCCGCCTTCCTCTCCTCTGGAGGGGGCCACGCTGCGGCAGGCTCGTGCGGCACCTATGCGCGCCGGGGCTTTTGACAGCGCGCCGTGCGTTCAAACTTGAATCGACCGCGCCCCGATCTCCTCCCTCCTCCCTCCTCCCTCCTCCCTCCTCCCTCCTCCTCCCTCCTCCCTCCTCCCTCCTCCCTCCTCCCTCCTCCCTCCTCTCTCCTCCCTCCTCCCTCCTCCCTCCTTCATGGTCGAGTCTCGTCGGGTCCAACGGTTTGCCCTGTCTTGGCGGCGAGCGCGGGGAGGAAGTGAGGAGGAGCGGGGCCTTCTCGGAAGGCTCGGGAGTCCCTGGGCCCTCCGAGAAGCTTCCTAGGCCTTCCCCGAAGACAGACAAAACATATCAGAAGGCGCGAGGGCTTCTGAGAAGTCCCGCCGCATTTCCGAGGAGGCCTTCTGCTTCTCACTTCCCCCCTCGTTCGCCGCCGAGCGTCCCTCGGTGCTTCCGCGTCGCGGAGTTCAACCTTGAACGCCTTCACCCGCGTCGCCGGCGCGCCAACGCCGCCGCAGGAACCGTGGGGTCGTGGACTGGCCCGACTTCAAATCTGTCGTGCCACTTTGGCCGACGTGGCCCTGTAGGGCGGAAATGTCCGCCCTGCCTGTCATGCGCCTCTGGTGCACAAGTCAGGCCTACTCGGCGTCGTTGGTTCCGCCATTCCTTTGCGGCAATATGCACCCAGGTTTTCTGAGTCGGAACTGTCCGCCCTCCTTTTCAAGCTCCTCTGATGTACAGGCCAGGCCTCCTCGGCGTCGTTGTTTCGGCCATACCTTGGCGGGAATATCTGCCCTAGTCTTCCTGAGGCAGATAGGTCCGCCCTGCTTGTTCGCATCGTTTGTGGCACATTTCCGACACCAGCTCCACTCGGAAAATCGACCAAGCACGACGGGTACGAAGCCTGGGGAGAAGTATCGACCAGGAATCGGCGATACATCACCGATCCATCTGCGATAGGCCTTCGATTGTCAAACCGCATGGTCCTGGGCGGGGTGGGCTGTCGGGCCCCCGTCGGCGATAAATCAAGGATCAGTCCCCTGTTCCCCCCTGACGCTGCTCCTTTGAAGGGGCCCACAAACACACAAATAAATACACACAAATGAAAAGATTCCCCATATTTTCCTATATCTTCTGAATGTCTTCCCCCCCACTCCCCATATTTTCCTATACTTTCCTGGGGATCGACGATGAATTGTGTCTGTGTGTTTCTTCCCCTCCTGCTCCTTGGCGCTCCAGTCAAGACTCCACTCTCCGGCGGCCGGCTGGCGCGGTGCGGGCCCCCCCAGGCAGGCTCTCGGCGAGGCGCAGCCGCTGCCAGGCGAGGCCGGAGCACCGCAGATGCTGAGCGAAACCGCCCGAAGACCTCGAGCCTGGATCGGGCTGGGCGGACCTCGCGCCGATGCGAGAAATCCGTGCGGACCTCCGACTTGTTATGCTTATAACATCGTTTGCTCACCTAGTTCCCCCCTGCGAGCGCTCAGATCGGGTCGGGCGAAAGGAAGGGATTGCAAAGGGGGGGTTGAGAATCAGCTCACGTAGCGGATTTCCCCGGCGCCTCCCGGCGCCGGAGGCGGCCATGCACCGAGGAATGGGCCCATTGATGGGGCCGGAACCAGCTAATTGCAGCAAATTTCGTAACCCCCCCTTTCCCTATCCCCCCCTTTCGTCCGGCCCGACTGGAACGTTCACCCTGATCCTTCTGCATCCTGGCCTCCTCGGCCCTCTGTATGCCGCGCTCGTCGACCTCCCTCTGGGCCCAAGCCTTCGGGGGGGCTGCGGAAGTCGGGGAGACGTAAGACTTGGGCTCGGGGGACTCGGGTTTGCCTCGCGGGGCCATCAATGAAAACGACGAGGCCCGAGCTGAAATTTGACACGAGCTCCCGCTGCAAACATCCCATGAAAACGGGACCGTCAAAATCCAGGACGCGCTCGTCAAAAAAAGTCGGCAAACCCGAGTTCCGGCTTACTCGAGTCTTACGTTTCCCAGTGGAAGGTGCCCCTGGCCCGCGGTGTGCCCCCCAGCCTTCCGCTCCATGTTGGACCCCCTGGGCCGCCTGGGCCTCGAGAGGGGGGCTCCTCCTCCTCCTCCTCCTCCTCCTCCTCCTCCTCCTCCTCCTCCTCCTCCTCCTTCTTCTCCTCCTCCTCCTCCTATTCCTCATCATTCGTGCTCTGGCCCCCGTGGAGGCCTCCCTTAGAGGCCCCGAGGGGTGCTCTGGAGGCCCCCTGGGGCCGCCTGGGCCTCCTCAATGGGGTCGGCACAGATGAGGTCTCGCCGATGCATCCGCGATGCACCGGCGGTGCATTGGCGATGCACTGGGAATGCATCGTCGATGTCGGCGATGCATCGGCGACGTCGACGTGAAGCAAATCGGGCCCCACATCGATCCGCATCGGCGATGTATCGGCGATGCGGCGCGATCTTCCGACCCCATCTCCTCCGACCCCATATGGGAGGCCTGGAGCGCTGGAGCCCGTGGAGGCCTCCCTGGAGGATATCCTGGGGGCATCTTGGGCCAGGGGCACTTCGGGATCCACCAAAAGGGGGGGTAACCATGAGAGGGGGGGCATGAGTTCGACCCGCTGGTGCACCGAACTGCCGCAAAAAAAATGCCCCCGCAGGCCCCACTGTCTGCAACAGTCGGGAGCTGCCTGCGGCTGGGGAGCATCTGTCTTGGGCGGCTCGGTGCAAAAACCTATAGAATTCTCTCACACACACAAAGGGCACACACACACACCCTTTGCGAGATGCCGATCCTGGCATTAGGTCGGGCATGTCCTCCTACAGGCGGATTTTGGACGAAGCAACAAATATTCCCAAAAATCACAATAAACTGTTTACAGTGGTCGTAGAATCGTCCCCAGACTATCTTTCACTGTTGCATAATATTCCCCCTGTAGAGGGACATGCCCGACCCAATCGTGTTTGGACACCCGAAATGGGTACCGAAAGAATGGGTACAATGCCCAACAACAAATGTTGTACCAAACCATCAGCGGCCGCTGTTGGGCAGGCGGCCTTCTGTCTCAAGTGGACACAGGCCGCGGCGGCGCGGACAGCGAGCCCTGTTCAAAATGAACAGGAGCTGCTGCTGGGCACTGTGCCCACTCTTTCCGTATACCCACTTCGGGCGTCCAGATCCCGGCAGCACCCGACGCCTCGCGCAGCTGCGCCTGCCGCGCCTGCCGGTGCCGCTCTTTGAGGGTCTCGGTGGCGGCGTGCGGCGCGCGGCCTGGCTGCGGGCCGGGCTCCAGGGCGAGCCCTCCTGCTCGGGGGCTGCCACGGGGTGCCCCCGGCCCGAGGTGCCCCCTTGGTAGGGGGCCACATGCGAACCATACCCCTACCCCCCACGATTTCTGAGGGGGAGGGTGGAAGTGAACCCCACCCTCCCCCTCAGAAATCGTGGGGGGTAGGGGTAGGGTTCGCATGTGGCCCCCGACTTAGAGGCCTCGCAGACGGGGTCGGAGCAGATGGGGCCGGAGGATCTCGCCACGTCAGCGATACGTCGCCGATGCATTGGCGATGCCCCCTGCGACGTCGGCGACGCGTCGGCGACGCCGGCGTGGAGAAGATCGGGCTCCACAGCGAGCCGCATCGGAGAGGCATCGGCGATGCGGCGCGATCCTCCGACCCCACCTGCTCGGACACCATCCTGGAGGCCCAGGCATAGGCGCCCCTGGCCCGAGGTGCCCCCCTGCGTTCCGCTCCACTCTGGAGCCCCCATGGGGCCCTCTTCTCGCCGCGCACCCGAGGGGGGCAGGGGGGAGGGGGGAAGGCTTCCTGGAAGGAGGCTGCTTCTCAGACGGCGCGGGGCCTGCGTCTGCAGACAGGGGCCCACGCCTTCTGCGAGGCAGGGCTGCTTCCGAGAAGCCTTCGCCCCTCCCTCTGCATCCCCCCTTTCTGCGCGTGGCCGACGTTGGGCCTCGCGAGAGGTTCTCTGGGGCCAGAAGGGGGGTCTCCCTGGAAATCCTTTTGTGCCCCTTGGTTTGGGCGACCCAAAGAGGGGTCCAGCTGAAAAAGGGGGTTGTGCAATAGATTTGGGGCAACTGTGTTGAAAATGTACTGCGCCAGAGAATTGTATTGCATTGCAAGTAACGCATCGCAAGCGAAAATCCAGCGATACATTTGCGAACCCAGGAATGTATTGCACGCCCCAAATGTATTCCAACCCCACAAATCTATTGCACCACCCCCTTGTCGCTGGAACTGGGGAAACCACAAGGTACCAATGCCGCTACTCCCCAGACCTCTCCCAGCGGTGGTAACGAGGGCCTCCGAGGAGGCCCCAAATGGGCAAAACGGGCGAAGGGTAGCGGTACGGCTACCTTTTCCTCCTCTGAGGACCCCCCTTCTGGGTCAGCCCGACCTGGGCCGGAAGCACGCCTGGCAACGCCCAGCCTGGCACCACCGCCGCGCCCTCGCCGAGTGTGGCTTCCAGGACCGGGCCCGGCGGGCCCAGGCTCTCCCAACGCAAGGACAAGCAGCTAGACTTAAGCATGGGGCCTGTCCCTCTACGGAGGGGATATTTTTCGGGGAGCGATTTTCTAGAATGCTTAATCATATGTGGTGTATTTAATGTATACATATGTGTGTATACGTACATACGTACATACATACATACATACATACATGCATACATACATACATACATGCATGCATGCATGCATGCATACATGCATGCATGCATGCATGCATACATACATATGTATATATAGACACATATATAGATGCGTGCCGTTCGAAATCGGCCTGTACAGGGGCATGCCCTACCTAAATCTAGACGAAGCTGCTTGGCCATTTGTCAGCGCGCCACCCTTGCAGACGTGCTGCAGCGGATCTTTGCGCGGATGTCTGTCCATGCAAAACCCCGAAATGGCGAATGACAAACGAAGTGAATTTCACGGGGATCTATTTTTGTTTAAAATTCCTGGCCAACAAGCAATCCGCACGACATTCCCTTCAAAATCTGGAAAGAAATTCCCCAGGACACTGAAGGCCCATCCGATCGTTTTCCGAGCGAAATCCGCTCTGCGATGTGGGCGCCATGACGTTTGCGGCCTGCGGGGCCGTCAGGCAACAACTCGGGAGACAACTCGGGACGAAACGCCGGTCCAGGGGAAGGGGAAGAGTCTCCCGGGGGCGACGAATTCAGAAAACAGAAAACATTGAATCTCTGGAGATACGCGGTCGCACGGATGCGTTCCGCGCGGGACCTGCGCAAAAAAAACGCTCCGTATCCGCAGGGTCTCAGCCCAGGGGCCTGGCCCGCGAGGCCGCGGATACGGATGCATTTTGCCCCTGATGTGGGGCGCTACTGGAAATTGGGAGGCAACTGCCAGGAGGTCTTCGCAATAATAATCAAGGGCTGCGAAGACGGATTAGGTGGGCACTCGGGCAGACTTGCCCCGATTGAGCCCCGGATAGGGCTGAATCGAGCTGCACTTGGCGGAATGTAACCGAACTTTGCCATATTAGGCCTGTGTTCGACCACAGATATACCAGCGCCGACGCTGCATTGAAACACCCATGAGGAGACGTTGCCAGGTCGTTTGTTCTCGACGCGCTGACTGACACGGCTGCGTCGGTGCGGGTGGATCTCCAGGAGACAAATTTGGGGGACACGTGAGCTGGAAATGTAATTAACAGAAACGCATTAATGAGGAAAAAAGGAGAGGGCGGGCAAGGGAAGTGGGAAGTGGGGAAGAGCGGGCAAGGGCGGTCAAGGAAAAAAGGAAACGGGGAGTGGAAAGGGGGAAAACGTTTTGCTTCAATCCCCCGACGCATCCGTCTCAATCAACAGCGCTAGCCAGCAGGAGCAGCGCGTCTGGGATGGTAGTGCTAATTAAAAGCATAGCGTGCTCAGACGGGCCGCCCGAACCCGTGCCCGTCCCAGGCGGCAGCGCCTCTCCGGCTACAGGCGCCTCCTCCAATGGCGACTGAGAGATGCAAGGGATCCCTAGCATGGGTGCGCGAGATGACTGACCACCTCTGAAAGAAAATCGGAAACGGAAAAAAACCGGCACACTGGAAACGAATGAAAACGAGACGGACACGGTAACGGAAACGGAAACCAAACTGTTCTGAATTTCCACGAGGCCCGAAACAAGACAGGACCGAAAACGAAAAGAAACGCGAAAGTCGCCCTGACCGTCTTGAGGGACATCTGCAGCGCCCGTGGCGGCGTTTGCCCCGGTGGCCGAGGCGCCCTTCCCGGGACGCAGGTCCGCGCGCCGGAACTAGCGGCGTGGCGACAGATGCATCCTCACGAGACTGGTCCTGGCCCCGGGTGCTCCCAGCGCTTCGCGCCGTGCGGGGGGGCCCCGCGAGAGGCGCTCTGGGCGCGCCCGCCGAGCCTGGCCCGGGGGAGCGGGGCCCAGCCTGGGCCGGGAGGACCTCGGGGAAGGGAGGCCTCCTGGAGGGGCACTTTTTTTTGCAATCCTTCGTTTTTTTGTTTTTTTTTACAATCCGTGTTTTTTTGCAATCCTTCGTGGCACGGCCAGGGACAGCAGCCCAGGACGGGCCGGAGGGGAAGGGTGCAAGGGAGCCTTGGAGAGTCGCTCCTCCTCACCGTGCGGGTCAACTGGAGATGGGGTCGGAGGGCTGCCCCGCCTCGCCCGATGCATCCGCGATTCATCGCCGATGCATCGGCGAGGCGTCGGCGACGTCGGCGACCGTTCGCGTGGAGGAAACAGGGCTCCACATCGAACCACATCGCCGATGCATCGGCCATGCGGCGCGATCCTCCGACCCCACCTGCTCGGACCCCATCTCGGAGGCCCAGATTAGAATAAGAAAAAAACGCATAACCATAAACTTGTGGCGCTCCGCGCGGATTTCTTGGATTCGCGCCGGACCCCCCTCCCTGGCGCGCGGAGCGCGCCAGGGGCAGCGCCGGAGGCGCCGCCGGGGGGGCCCAGGCGCGGATCCAAGAAATCCGCGCGGAGCGCCACAAGTCCATGCTTACATGTGTTTTTGTTTCTTCTTCTTCTTCTTCTTCGACAGTCGGAGGCGCTCGGTCCTGGTCTTCTGGAGAGGAAGAACTCCCTCAGGTTGCACGCGGCCTCCCTGGGGGCGCGCGGCCTGCGGGCCGCGCGCCCGGCGCTGGCGGAGGAGCTGCTGCTGCCGGTGGTCCCGGGGCGCGCCGCGCGCTCGATCGCAGCGAGGCTGCCGCTGCTGCCGGGGCGCCCGGCCGCCGCCATCGGCCCAGCCCGGCCGTAGCTCTCAAGAGCCTGTTTTTTTGGATTCAGGCAAGTTTACTTGCATGGCGTTCGACCCCCCCCCCTCGCCCCTCTTCAAGCGAATACTAGGGTGCAAGTGCCTTTCGACTTGCGTGATTTCCGCGCCCCCCTCCCCGGGGCTTGCTTCAGGCTCAGCCCCCCCCCCCCCGTCCATGCAAGTAAACTTGCCAGAATCTAAAAAAAAACAGGCTCCAAGCTGGCGCTCGAGCCGGCAGGGCTGTCAGCCATCGCCCGTAAGCCAGGAGGGTCGACGAAGAGTTTTTTCTTGCACCACACCACCAGCCAAAATACCACTTCGCCAACGTGCGAGTTCATGGGCTCTGATGCATCGCACGGCACGCGCACTCCATACAGTCGGCCTTGATTGGACAGGACACGCAAGAGGACACAAGACCCTTCCGAGGGCCGCATCGCCACAGGAGTGTAAGAAGGCACGCGTCGCGAGGCACAGGACACAAGGGTACCCTTGAGCTGGCAAGGTCCACCTACTAATCCGGGCCGACTGTACGCGCGGCCCCTTCAGCCAGAACAGCCTCAACAGCCTTTCAACGCCCGACTGGACGCAGAACTGCTTTCACAGCTCTGACGCCGGCTGCGCCCGCACCGGCCCCGTGGCCAGGAGGGCCGACGAAGGAGGGACGAGGAGGCTCCTCTGGCCACGGCGGGCCTCACTCCCTCGAGCAGGCCCCCCGAAGTCGAGCCAAGCACCGGCCCGAAAGCTGGAGCCTCGCCTTGAGGCTCGCGTGGTCGGGTCGGCGTCTTGGCTGTCTGCTGGAGATGGGCCGAAGGGGTGATGGTGAGCGCTGGGCGATCGAATCCATAGGGCTTGCATGCCTCTCGAAGACGAGAACGAAGGCTTTGTCAGCACACAAGGAGGCCAGGCTTGGACACACACACACACACACGTACAGGAGATGAACATATATATCTATATGTATATGTATATATATATATATATAGAGAGAGAGAGAGAGAGAGAGAGAAAAAAAGAAAGAAAGAAAGAAAGAAAGAAATAAAGAAAGAAAAGAGTAGCCGATGTGCTGGGAGGGACGAGCGAGGCAACGAGAAGTTGAGGAAGGATGGAGACACCAGCCCTGCCTTGTGGGAGGATGTCCCCATTGAAAGAATTGCGCCCTGCCGTCCTCCCGAGCACCCCAGGACCTGCGCCCAGCAACCCCAACAACCCTGCAACCCCGCTCCGGCGGACCACCCTGCCGGAGCGGGGCGAAGGACCTGCGCCCCCGAAAGCAGCGCAGCCAGGGCAGGAGCGAGAACGGGTCGCCCGGCTTGGGAGATCGACGCGGCCGCTGTGCTCGCCACCACCACCATAAGTTTGGGGGGAAGGAGGTGGAGGATGAGGATGAGGATGAGGATGAGAATGAGGAGGAGGAGGAGGAGGAGGAGGAGGAGGAGGAGGAGGAGGAGGAGGACCCCCTCCCCCTCCAACTGGTGGTGGTGGTGGTGGTGGAAGACAGGCCCGTGATGGACCCCAACGCTCCAGACGACTCGCTGCGCTGCTGCGCTCGCGCGCGCCTCGGGAGGAGCCTTCGCCTCGCGCGCGCCTCGGCGGGGCGGCGCCTGCGGCACGCTGCCCTCGCAACAGAGAAGCCCCGGGCGGCGTGCCGCGCTGCTCTCGCCGTGGCGGCGGGGCTGCTGGGAGGAGCTCGGGACGCGTGCCGCCGCGGAGTTCTGAGCAGGGGCCGACCGTGCCGGCATTCCGAGAGGCCTGCCACGAAACGTTCTTCGCTCGTACGTAGTGTGGACCCGAACCTCGGTTACGGCCGGGAAGCCTGCCACGAAAGTGGAAGTAGTGTGGCCTCGCGAGGCCTACCACGAAAGTGGAAGTAGTGTGCCTACTGGGCCTGGGAAACGAACTCTAGACACCGACGCTTTTTGTCCGACCCTGCGAAGCGCGGATCCTGGTGTGTACGGGATCCTGGTGTATAAATTTTTCGTTGCGTCCCTGAGAAAGCGAGGGAAAGGTATTCACCACACCACCCCGACGTCGTCCCCGACCCTCAAGACGTCGTGGGATTAGCCAAAACACGCCACCGGTAATGTAGATGTTCCAGTGTTCCAGTTTCCAATCTTAGAACCCCTAAAACGTTCTAAGAACGGAAACAATTTGTTCGTAGAACATAACACCGATGTGCAAAACCAAGACAGTCCCAACCAGAAATGTTCTAACATTCCGCGGAAGCCACAAAAGGTTCTCAGAACATTCGTTGGTATGCCCCTCGGCGAGCCAGGACGCTTCGCCACTGTTTGAGAGTTGGGGCGTGCCCTGCGCGTCACACCGAGGCGTGGTGGACCAGAACCAGGAGGCGCGGCACACTCCGCAGACGTTCCTGACCCGTATAAGGTTACGCTGGCACTTCAGGGGGGTCCGCTTCCAGCGCATCCTGGCCCGAGGATGGCGACGAGCGCTGCCGGCAGGGCACGCCGAAGCCAACAGAGATCACAGATGCTGGACACCCAGCAATCCAGCCTCTCTCGAACAAGAGTGAACAACCGATGCGCGCCTACCTACGGAGTATGTCTTTGACCCGCCAGGGTTGAATACACATGTCCATCATGATACTATATGTTGTTGTTTTTCTGAGCGCCTGCTAGCATTGCAAGTGCACACGACTCTCTGTACCCCTTGGGTAGCTGGTCGCTCGACGCATGAGATGAGACGCTAAGTGGGGATCCTTCCTGTCCACATACGTAGCCTTCCAATAAGTAGCGTGCTTGGGTCAAAAGGGTTGAGGATGCCATGAGGAAGAAGCAGAGCAACAACAAGGTGCAGGGGGCGAGGAGGAGGAGGAGGAAGAGGAGGAGGAGGAGGAGGTGGGTCGCTGCAAAACAACTACTTAGTTCGCTGACCCTGCCGGCGTGTGGACGAGGCTGTTCCGTTTGACTCGTCGTCATCGTCGTCGTGGTCGTCGTCGTCGTCATCGCCTTCGCCGCTCCCCTCCTCTTTCCCTAGGCCCGTCGCCGCTCCCCACACTTTCACGAGGCCCTCCTCCTAGAGCGCGCCAGCCACAGCGAAAGTGAGCATCGTTGTAGTTAAGTCGAAGGGAAGCCCCTTCCCTTTGATCCCTTCCCCGCCGAGGGGGGGTCCCGCGGGAGGTCCCGGGGGGAGGGGGTCGCCACCCAAATACGACTCCCCCCGGGCGGTTCGGGGGCCCAGAAAAGCCCCAAGACGCTGCAAAAGTACTCCAAGATGCCCCCAAGACGGTCCTCGAGGGCCCCGAATCGCCGAAGTATCGGTCCAAGTCGCCAAAGTAGCCTCCAGACGGCTCAAAGGTGTCCAAAACGCCCCAAGAGGTCTACAAGAGGACTTCCAAGAGGGCCCCAAGGGGCAAAAATCATCGGCTCCCCTTAATTAGGCTTTTCAAAACAATTCTGCATTTTCGCCTTGTCAGCTTCCCGACGCTCCAAGACAGGCCAAGATGCCCCCAACACCGCCCAAAGATGGTCCAAGAGGCTCCAAGAGGACCCCGAAACGACCCAAGAGGGCCCTAAGACCGCCCATAAGGCCTCCAAGAGGGCCCCGAAACGACCCAAGAGGGCCCTCAGACCGCCCAAGAGGCCTTCAAGACAGAAAGAGGCCCCCAAGACGGCTCCAAGAGGGAGCCCAGACGGGGGACACGAACTGTCATTTCGATCCGTCGGTCTAAGAAGCTCCCAGGATGCCCCCAGAGGCCCCGAGAAGCCTCCCAAGAGGCCCCCAAGAGACGCCCAGGAAGCCACAAGAGGCCCCCACGAGGCTCCCAAGCGGTCCCCAAGAGCCTCCCAAGAGGCCCCCAAACTACCCCCAAGAGGCCCCCGAAAGGTGGTATAAGCCCCATATAGAACCCTCCAGGAGTATGCCGACGCCGACGCCGACAACGACCATCACGACGAACCACCAGCGCTTCCCGGAGCGCGCTCCGACCAGAACGTCGAGGCAGATCCAGCTGCGGCCACGAAAGGGCCCCGGAGGTCGGAAAAAAGTCACGAAACGCCCCGGAGGTTCGCCCGGCGTCGCCATGCGCGCGCTAAGATCTTCGACACCGCGTCGATCGTTCAACCTTGACTTGATCGCGGCCCCGATCGTCCGAGATTGAATCCGTCGGGTCCAGTGGCGTCGCCGTGTCCCTCGGTGCTTCCGCGTCGCATAATGCAACCTGGAACGCCCTCGCTGGCGACGCCAGCGCGCCATCGCCGCACGAAACACACACACACACACACACGCGCGTACGTCTTTTCCGACGCGGCGGGGGATGCCAGTACCGGGCGAAACAATGGCGGGCCACGTGCGAACACATACGCGCGAACACGCAGGGATGCGTCCTCCACTGGCGAAGTGGCGTCCCTGCCGCGGTGGTGGCGGAGGGGTGCGTGCCAAACCAATCGGACAGTGTGGATGAAGAGACTGCCCAGAGACATACGCACACATACACGCAAACACTTTTTGGCGACGCGGCCCCGCGCACAGCGATAGAGCGTAGCAAGGTCGGAAAAGCGGGCGTGCACACACACACACACACACACACACACACACACACACACACACACACACACACACACACACACACACACACACACACACACACACACACACACACACACACACACACACACACACACACACACACACACACACACACACACACACACACACACACACACACACCACACACACACACGCACAATTCACACACGCACACACACACACGCACGCACCACAAACGCAAACACACACACACACACTTCTTGGTCGCAACGATGGTAATCACGCGCCGCGTCCGTCGCCTAAATTTTGCCACTGCTGGGCGAGTCGAACACAGCACAACGAAAAGCACTACCGAAGGGCGACCGCATACACACACAGACACACACACATACACGTGTGTACATATATATATATATATATATATATATATATATATATATACGTAGCACCCCGCAAATGCGGATAAGAGTAAGGAGCA